GATATTGTTGACTGCAGTCTTCAATATTTATTTTTTATACAAATTTTTTCATTTTTATTTATTTTGATTCTTAAAATTCATTTGCCCGCGGGCGCCCATACCCCCCTTCCCATTTTTATTTTTTAAATTTTAAAGTCCATTCAATTTTTTTATAATTTTTTTAATTAGACTTCTTAAATTCATTTGCCTACGGGCGCCCATGCCTCCCTTCACATTTTTTTTCTTTACTTAAAGTATTGTTCAATTATTTCAAATCCTTTCTTAAATTTTGAGAGCCAGTTAGTGCCTCATAAATATTCATTGTTTCATGATTTAATTAATGTAAATAAAACTATGAGTTTAGGAATTGGGATATTGTAGACTGCAGTCCTGAATATTTATTTTTAATACTCATTTTTTCTTTTTTTTTTTATTTTGATTCTTAAAATTCATTTGCCTGCGGGCGCCCATGCCCCCCTTCCCATTTTTTTTCTTTAATTTAACTATAGTTCAATTATTTCCAATCCATTTTTAAATTCTGAAAGCCAGTTAGTGCCTCATAAATATTCATTGTATCATGATGAAATTAAACTAAATAAAACTATGAGTATATAAATACAGATATTGTTGACTGCAGTCTTCAATATTTATTTTTAATACACATTTTTTCATTTTCATTTATTTTGATTCTTAAAATTCATTTTCCTTCGGGCGCCCATGCCCCCCTTCCCATTTTTTTTTCTTTAATTTAGCTATAGTTCAATTATTTCAAAACTTTTTTAAATTTTGATGGCCCGTTAGTGCCTCATAAGTCATAAGTATTCATTATTTCATGATCTAATTATTGTAAATAAAATTATAAGTTAATGAATATTGATATTGTAGACTGCAAACTTTAATATTTATTTTTAATACATATTTTTCCATATTTTTTTTATTTGGATTCTTAAAACTCATTTGCCCGCGGGCGCCCATGCCTACATTCCCATTTTTATTTTTAAATTTAATGGTCTATCAAATTTTTTTATTTTTATTTTTATTTTTTTACCTTAAACTCATTTGCCTGCGGGTGCCCATGCCCCCCTTCTCATTTTTTTTCCATCATTTAACTCTAGTTCAATTATTTCAAAACGTTTTTTAAATTTCGATGGCTATTTAGTGCCTCATAACTATTCATTATTGCATGATCTAATTTTTGTAAATAAGATAGAATTTTAAATTTTAAAATAAAAATTTGAACTGGGGCATGGGCGCCCGTGGCAAATTAGTTTTAAGAATCAAAATAAAAAAAATATGAAAAAATATCTATTAAAAATGAATATTAAAGTCTGCAGTCTACAATATCACTGTTCCTAAACTTATAGTTTTATTTACAATAATTAGATCATAAAATAATGATTATTTATGAGGCACGAACAGGCCTTCATAATTTAAATAAAGGTTTTGAAATAGTTGAACAAGAGTTAAATTATTGAAAAAAAAATTTGAAGGGATGCCTGGGTGCCCCCAGGTAAATGAGTTTAACTATCTTACTTATTTAGTTATTTTCATTTTTTATTATTAAAACCACAGTTTATAAATTCTGGTAGGGTAGTAATCGATTCATTTATTTTTACGGCTGATTTAGTTACCATGCGTACGAATATTTAATACCATATAATATTATATTGTTATAATCTAATAGACATTTAAAGACCCAATTATTGTATGTTTTTGTTTTTGTTTGTCGTTTCTTTTCATCCCGTGGTTGTTCTTTACAGTATTAATTGTTGTGGATTACAATTTGGATAAACGTGATGTGAATTTTGTATTTACGTCGATATTTAAATTATATATTATGCCTTGTTATTTTATATTAAGGGAAATGTGCCTTGTGCGTTCCGTTCTTAGTTTTCACCTTTTTTGTACAACATTATAATGAAGCTCAATGTTAGTCTTATCGATAAATTATATTGAGATGTATATTTATATATTCGATTTAAATCAGTTTTCAGAGGGCTTGTATTAGGTCAATAATTGGCGGGATTGGCGAGAAGTACCTACATGGCTTAATATTATACAAATTACCATAGTAAAAGTATCTATATGGTACATTTTAGGTACATTCTTTCCCATTCACTCGCTTAACTCCACTTACTCTCTTGACGGACAATCATTTAAGGAAACACTTCTTACTTCAATGCTACACAGATAAAAAAATAAAATGTCCAGCAAATTTATAACTATTAATTTACTTTTCAGTAGAAACTCAAGAAGATTGAAGTAATGATTGGTAATGGTTTACTAACAGGAAGACCTAGCAATACACACGAGTGCATAGAATTTTTATTTGTAATTTTTTTTCTTGTTTAATCAAAACTGTTGTATTTCTTTGTGTGAAATGTATTTTATTCAATATAAATCGCATATTTTCCAATTTTTTTACTGCACACTAAAATTATAATGCTTTTGATCGCATAAGTATATGTAAATGTATGATTACTTTACCGGGTATAAAGTTCCGAGCCTTGCATTGCAGCAGTTATGGCTTATCAGACAATTGATATATTTTTAAACTTACAAAAATAAAATAAAACATTATTTTATGGCGTAACATAATATGTATAATCATAATGCATATTTTTCTTTTACAAATAGAATCAGCAAAATTAAAAGTAAAATAGTCATATAAGTAATTTTGGTATTAGGCTTAGGATTTTTTTTTAACTCTTAGGGTATTTGCAGATGGAGCTAAGGAATCTTAATCTATTACTGTAAATACTAATTAAGTATGTAGAATAAGAACTTTAATTTTAATTTTTGTTTTTTGCCAATAATATGATTTCTACCTGTACTGAACAATATTGTTATATTTGAGTTGTGTAGTTCTTCCTCAGCGTGTGTGAATCATTGTCATTGATCACTGCAAGATGTACTATTGTTATGATATTATAATATTTTTATTTTTATTATGAAGTCACATGTGTTATGTTATGTATAAATATATAGGTAGGACAACACTCGAAGAACGACACTCAAATAACATAATATTTTTGTAAAACCAGACACATAGTCCTGAAGTTGTTATTAATTTGTCATTGTCAAATTTATATGAGGGAGTATAATAGTGATAATAATATATTATTATATTAATTTCTCGGCTGCAGTTACGGTGGTGTTAATTTAGATGTAGGTATTAGATATGGATTTTCTATTATGTATTTTGTGAGCCAACAGCTGCTTTTTGAGGAACCCCACAAACAATAATTTTGGGGGGAAAAAGGAAACAAGAATAACCCTCTTTCCAAATTTATGGATTTACGTAGACCGCACAATACTTGTTCTTAATCGTGATTTAATAAGCGCTGCACGGCGTGCATCGTCATATTACATAATATGCCCCCCCAGAATTCGCACATATGAAAAATCACTGTTTTTTAATATGATTTTTTTCATTATTGTATATTCTAAAATCCATGGACTTTTGATACGAATCGACAATTTTATAATAATAATAATAATAATAATGTATATAATGTTTAATAATAATTAATCACGTGATACATCATCCACTCCAATGAATAAAATGACGGCCATCGCAAATGGTGAACAAATTGATATTTTTAATATTTTAGTTTTGTCGATTCTTTCAATTTTTATGTTTAAAACAAAACCTTCTAAACATTTTTAGACTTACAATCCGTACACTTTGATTTATATAAAATAATTAATGTAGGTATGTTTGTTAGTTTTTTTTACTAAATGTTATTTGTACTATATTTATGTTTTCTACATACTATTACTAATAATCTCATGTGATTGAGTTCTTACAAGTGAATGAATATAAATAAATACAAAATAAAAAATATGCTCCCAGAATGCGCACATATGAAAAATCATTGTTTTTTAAGTTTATATTTTTTTATTGTTATAATATATATTCGAAAATACATAGACTTTTGATACGACTCAACAAATGTATAATAATAATAATATTGTATATAATATTTAAAAATAATTAATCACATAGTATAATATATTTAGGCGTAGCCGCGTAGGTACGTTATCTTTTCCAATCTATTATAGATAACGATACGACTTATCATTTTTGATTGAAGCTCATCGTCTCGGTGTTCATCTATTAATAGTAGGTACGTTTTTTTGTTTCTAAAACTATACAACAACGAATATAATGTAATATTCAAAAATATTTACAGCTAAGTTTCATCCACTTCTCATTTGATTCAAAATATTTTTGCTACCTAGCTAATAGGTATGGATGTTACATACGACTATACACTGAAAGTTGTCGGTGGTTTTTTTTACTTGGGTATTACTTTAATTTTCAATCAGGGCGAGAGAAAAACCGATTTGGAAACTATTTTATTATTTATATTATAATTGAAACAATTATAAACTGCCACGAAGAAAAATATAGTATTTTTATTGGTAGTTTTGGTGTTTACATATTATCATCTTTTTAGAATATTATTAAGACTGTTAAAAAAATATTTTTTTCCTAGGATTCGAGTAAGTCTACATGATAATCAGATTTTATGATGTCGAAACTATTATCTCGCCTGACTTTGCGAATTAAGATTTATGATGATTATACTAACAACGAGGAAGTCTTTACTTGTAACTCCGAACAAATTGGTAAGTAGATGTTTATGGGTTAACAGAGTGTATCTGAACTTTCAGTGCTTCACTGTCTCATAGAGCATACCTCTATTGTAATGTTTAATTTTGTTTCTATGTACGATTTTATTAAATTGTTTATTTTTGTACGTAGACATCTGTTGTTTAACACCTAGGTATCGATATCTGTAAAAATATATTTCGTGCCAGATGAAGTGGGAAAAACACATAGAAACTTTCTTTTTCTTCTTCACGAATCGCTCTAAACTAATCTTTAGCTATCCTCAGCAGCTGTTGTTGGGCTAGCTGATTCAATTTTTTTGTCGGATTCTAATGTTATCGATTCAATTTTTTTATCGGATTCTAATGTTATTGATTCAATTTCTTTGAATAGTTCTTCGGGTCGTTCAATATCCTTCACGTCTGTAGTTTCGTTGTATGAATCCAGACGACGCCTAACTAGATCATGGATCATATCTAAGAACAAAATATTATTATTATTATTAAATAAAAATAAGTTCAATTATAAACTTGTCAGAAATAATGTTTTAAGAAATGTTCGTGTTTTTTGTATATTATTTACATCAAGTTCTTAAATAACGGATTAACGAATTTAATTTGATAATCTCTTCTATAGATACTCTTAAATGTTGTTTTTTATCAACATAGGAATGAGTCGTGTGTGTATTTTATACTAAAAACTTAGATACTTTAAGTATAAGAGCCAAGTGGTGTAAAATTAAAAAACGGTTTAAATAATTTTCAGTTTATTGTACTTATACTTTTTCTATATTAAAAAGTCGTTCGGGGGGCTTTGATGTTTTGCGAGCTTTGTGGTGGCAGTTATCGTGGGTTTGATAAAAATCGTTAACAGTTGCTGTGTGCTTGTGCTGAATTATTTAGTATAATAGTAATAATAATTGTTTTAACTTACAAGACTTCATAATAAGTCATTAAAATACTTTGTAACCCAAACAAAATGCACAGAATTTACGTTTTTGTTGAGGTTAGGTTAGGTTTAGGTTTTAAATAACCAATCAATAATCAAGAATGGCGTGATGCCTATTATTTGGTACATATTGTTTCATCTTATTTTTTAAGCGTTAGACGACGATATTATATCATATTATTATGCTTTAAATTTTTCATAACTCATTCGTACTTTTCAAAATGTCATCGCTTTCTTCGTGTTTCGTTTTATCAGCTTGTAGTTCTTCAGTCAGCCATTCCACGAATTCCGGACCTGTCGGCGATGGTACATTTTATAGTTTAGAGTGAAGTGTGGTTGAAAACATGTGTACTTACTTTCTAATTTATTAGCAGTCGTATTTGTAGTGAGTCCTGTTTTACTCAAATCGTCAAGTACTTTAGGCAATAAATCAGTCACACGGCCCGAAGTCAACATCGAGGAGATTCGTTCTTTTTCGTTTCTCTCGCCTTCATCAAACATTTGAGCGTGTTCAGCCTGAAATAAATTAATATCATTTTGATATGGTAATCAAAGCGTATAGAGGTTCAAGATATTATAACTTAATCTACTAAAAAAAAAAAAACTTTGTGTGGGTATTACTCTTCTTAACTTGCTAAGTATGATTTGGTTTTTATAAAACGCACATAACAATGTCATGTTATATTATATTTAATTTGTAGATATGGGTTTAAAACAAGTGCAATATTATAATATGTATTATATTTTTGGATAGCAGATACATTTTTTCTACGTAATTCGATGAATGATTTAAATTAAACTTCCATATAGTCGACAGAATACAAATTTATATTTTTGCCATTTAAAAAACTTTTCGATAAAAATCAATATTGTATTCTAAATTATTAAATGATATTATTTAAAAAATTAAGTTTAAAGATATTGTATGATATTTAATAATATTTTAAAATCACAAATGACTAGGATATACAGGGCCGTGACCCACGGGAATAGGGCTGAAAATAGTGTTACGACTTTACATTTTTGGCCCTATTCCCGTGGCCCACACTGTGCATACAATATATTAACAATATTAGCTGTTTTTTATGTATGGGTCACATTCGACGAACCCTGTGTCGTAAAATAATGATTCAATATTTTTTTTTCTATCACTGATAGATGTTCGGCTAAACTCACGATAACTTTATTCAGCCTTTCGTCTTGGTACTGCAGTCTTTGCTTTTCGATCTCCTCAACGGTGCGCCGCATGCACAGCGCTCTTTGTTGCCGGGCTCTCGTTTCCAGCTCGTCTTCGTACAGCACTTCTCGCATGGCTTGCCTGAACACGTCTGCGATCAGAGCTTCCGCTATGGGCGTCACCTCGGTGTCGAAGTCGAATAACTAAAAAAAAAAAACAGAAACATCGCCGTAAGGAAACAGCATAGATGGTCATTCCTTGGAACACGTGGTTTGGGAAACCGCGGTCCGGCGACGGACTTACGTCTTTGTCGTCTACCTGGGTAGACGCGTCTGTGCCGGCAGACATCCCAGTTCCAGTGTTCGAGAACAGTTCTTGATCGAATTCAGTCTGCGCCCCAAACGTCTGCGATACTGGATAATCGTACAGCTGTCGAGTTAAATAAATCATAATATAATTATTATTTTCGCGGTGACTCACGTTATTATTGCAAATAATAATAATAATAACAATAATTATAATTATACATTGTCTTAGACATGGCAGCGAGTATATACCTTTTATGTAATCAACATTGTGCATGCCCCCCTCCCACTTTTTACTGTGTGATAAGTTCTCCGCCTCTCATTGGTCACATGTTTATTAAAGCATGAAGATCGGAGAATCCATCATACAGAAAAAGGAGGTATGCGCAAACAAGATTTGAATACGTGCTATTGTTATTGACGTAACTTTATATTTGGTCATGATTACATAGGTACCTTCTACCTAGCTGATAGGTACTTTCAGTTTCAAAATTCACGACAAATATCGACAAATGTTACCGTAATAAAGTATATTGAATATTGATATACCTATATAATTATTATAATACACTATGATTTTTATGCTAATAAATAATTATTGATTTCAACGGATTCATTTTCATCATATCAAAATTATCTGTAAGTACAGACAATTTTTAGTTGAATGAAAAGTTAAGAAATATATTTTTTTTAAGCTTAAAGGAATACTGCGATGACGCTTTTTTAAACGAAATTATTAGTTAGAGGTACCTACATATGTAATTTAACGAATTTTATTTAATAGTTTTCTTTATCATTTTTAACTTAGGTAAAAACACAAACATTTAAATGTAATTTTACAATTCTTACTTCTTCTAGATGTACATCGGTTTGGATGTCCACATTCTGTCGGCCTCTGGGAAGTTTTGGCGCTCCCAGGTGAAATCGCAATGCCCTGGTCTGATAGTCTATGGCTTTTTTCCTGGCCATAGCCAGTCGACGAGCTTCCGCTTCCCGCGCCGCTGGTGACTCTTTGCCCAACTGCGGAATAATAATATTATGGACCTCAAACGCCGTTTGATATTTAATAAATCATTTACATAATATTATGTATTGTAGCAATAGCAAAAAGTGAGCTAATGTCAATTCCACAGCGTTTTCAAAAGCCAAAATATAACGTTACACCTAATAATAATAATCAAAAAAATGATAAACCGAAAACGAAAAATCTGTAGCGCATGCGTGTAAGCAGGACGCTCACCTCCGACGACAACAGTTTAGCATACCCAAAATATGGGTTCCACTTTGGACGCTAAATATTTTTAATAATATTGTATTATTATATATTTTATCATGTATAACAAAATCATGTTAAGTAGTTAATAAGACGTGATGTCCAAAAAAATAAATAGTAACACTTACGAATGATTTTTTCGCAAAATTACTGCCTCTGATCACCCGTTTGTCGTGCATGATGTTTGTGTAACCCATTTGTTTGCACATACTGAAAATAATAACAAAACAAAAAAAAAAAAATTTAAAACGAAAAAATACATAATTTACACTTTATTTTGACCCAAATTCAAGTTCTCGAAGAATTGATTGAGCAAATGGGGTGTGCAAGATGTCGAGAGGACGAATGTTTTATGGTTTGTAAAAATAAAAAAAGGTATGAATATTTAACGACTGGTTCGCGTGCTCGGTTTGAAAGACATAAGTCAACTTGGGTGTTTTTTAACTATTTTTTTTTTCTACAAAAATTAAGAATTTACGGCCTTATAAACGTAATAAAACTCGCACAACATTATAACTACACTAGGAAAAAAAAAGTTAAAAAATTAAATTTTTATTTTAGTTTAATGAGTCAAACTAATAGTTTTTTCTACGAATTTCACAAGTATAGTAACTATACCAATAATAATTGATATCTATTTGATATTATTGACGAGTTTTACGCAGATGCTCTCTATATCGGAAATCAGAGGGACTTGAGTATAATCATAAATTACCAATACAAGCCGAATCTTTTTAAAATCGTGGAGATCGTTTTGAGATTGAGGATTTTTCGATTCTGACAACTAGCCGGTTCCCATCGGTAAAAACTAAATTTATATTTTTATATTCATCGATTTTCATGATAAAATAATCTAAGTACCATCGAATTCAAATGTACACTACCTACTTATTTCCATTTCAATAGTTTATGATAAATACAGATATTATTTATATTTTACTTTTGCTACCGAAATAACCGTTTAATATGCGTATAATAATAAATATTCATTTTATATTTTGATTTATTAATTAAGTTTTGATTTCAAAAGGACATCATATTATTTTAATAAAGTCATAATAGGCACTTACATTATATATTTGTATACATCCACATTAATTATTTTATTGCTATATTATATTAACAACGACCGTTACCAAAATAATTACTATAGAGTCCATTATTGATTTTTTACGATGTTAATACAATAAAATATATTTATAAATCGTTATCATAATGCAATCTATTTTATATTTTATTTTATAGGTATTACCTGCTTTCATACAACTTAGAAGTGTATAAACCTCGTATATTTTGTTGCCTCCACTCGAGCAAATTTATGGCGAGATATCAATCTTAAATTGTACTACTCGTTATAGTCGTTACAGATAACAGTGTATGTATATTTTATATATATAGAGCGTATAATTTTGCTTCTAAAAATAATTCTACAAAGGATAATATCCTTAACGGCCAAGGGTCACGGTCATTGGTCACTGTAAAGTTGATTATCATGTAGTAACGCGGTTTATTGTATACACTATATACGTATGCATAATATGCATATTATCTGATTCATAACTAATTGTACTTAATATAGTTATATTACTCTTTGTTATGGGCAAAAAAATGTTTTATAGTAGTTGAGGACCACATACATACATACATATGTTTAAAATCCAAATAATATACTAATTACAATCACCCGAGTTGCTCATGTAAATTTAATTATTGTATTCATTTATTTCCGTACATTTCTAGTAAGTACATATTGATAAATCTGGCTACCTATAGTTATTTTACAAAACGCACAGATTGTGGTTTATATTATAACTACCAGTGTAAATAATTAATAATTTACCGCATTTTAATATCTACTTAGTTAACTGGTTCAGTATTAATTTTATATTGATTATTTACAAATACTATAAAACTGTAGGTAATTTTTTGAGTGTTTTGTAAACAGCTTTAGAACAAGAAGTGAAATGTCTCAGACATTTGTAACGATAGTGAGTTGGGTCACGAAAGTCAGTATGGTCGGCTCTATAATATGCAACATACATAGTCCACTCGAAACCGTATGATAATGTACACAATACACACACATACACACACACACACGCTGTGGCTTCCAACATATTATATAGGGTATAGCGAGATATATTTTTATTTTACCCACTCATTTACTAATATCTATTATCTAGGCAGGACAGGTAGGTGCAATAACCTTTTTTTTAGTCTATTTTGCTACACCAATTTCGTATACGTACATTTTATTATGTGTAAAATAAATTCAGTATCATTGAATCGATTTATTATAAAGAACTAACGTGAATTTAATTCAACTCGAATTGATGAAATTTATAAGTTTGATTCGACAGACACACCACTACGTTTAATGTTTATCGAATGGAATATTCGTAACAATATAGTACAATACAATATATTTCACAATCAATCTTATTTAAAAGGAATTTGCACATGTCTTGGAAGTAGTAAACCCGAGTCTGTCGTTTATAATTTTTTGTTATTATCACTCGCACTTATAAGTGTTATACTTTTGTGCATATTCGAAAAAAATACAGAACATCTGGGACGTGAAATCTATTTGAATGATCTAAGGTTTTCCATATAGGTACGTCCTGCAGTTATATTATTGTATTATTTAAATGGGGATATACTAACATAAGATGTAGACAGCCATCAGCGCAAAGCATTTATTTTTTTACCCCCTTAAAATGAAAATACCATAAATCTCAATATACATACTACTCCGAGTCACCTACGTTCAAAACATTTTTCCTGAAGCAGTCGTCCTTGCCGTGGACCGAAAGTCATCTGAAGCAACTTTATAGATCCTATAATATTGGATACAAAAATCTTTGGGAAACCGGAAATTTATATGTTAGAGTTGTTGAAAATTTTGGTTCAGACGTTGACCTTTCTGTAGGGTTATGCAGCTGCACATTCATTTCAGAGGGAAACATGAAGTCGACTTACATATTATTATTCATACTTTAGGGTATGTGACTTTAATTTTTGGCGGCCTTCAAGAATATTTGGGTTCGATCGTGTTAAGTCATGTACTGCGAGGGATGATTGAAAAAAACTGAATGATATTATTTCTTGGTCCTTGGAATCTTTACATCTTGTATAAGATAGGTATGTCCCAAAACTCCTAGATCATTCAGAATACCACTGTGGCCAATCGATGTGCTATTCAATGTGGTATTTTCAATAGCGGTTTATAACTTTATAAGTAAATTTTAATATTGAAAGGTATATGAATCGAACGAGACAAATTTGTGGTGAAATTTAAGTTTTGGAATACCAAACCAATATCTGGGATACTAATAATCAAAAAAAATACATCACAACTGAGTAAAATTTGAACATATATTGTATTAGAGTAGTAAGTTAAGTATCTATTCGTATTTTGTAATTAGAGTTAGGTATATAAGCAAAGAACAAAAACCACGATGGACTTTGTCTAAAATATCAACCTCGATTGTCACGATGATTTCTCGTAAGATTCACTGAGAATAAAATAAACTGACAATTCGCTCACTCCTCGGTAAATATTTTGCAAACGAAGGCATAACTATTCTCTCGTCAGTGTGACTCTCGGGAAACACCGTTGATGCAGTGTACCGACATACTCACTCGGGTTGCCTGTTGGTTTTCCGGGATGAGTGGGAGACGGTGCACCGTTGGTGTTGTCTGTCGTGAAGTACGCGTGGCTTACTCGAGTACGAGTAGTATCGGTCCGAGTCGACGCCGGACTGAGACGAACGGTCGTCGAGACCGAGCAGGGCGGCCAGGTCGGGCGGCGGGTCCAGGAAAATTCCCGTTTTCACTGTGGTGACGAAAACCGGTTTTCTGGACTCGTGCTTGACGCCGTTGCCGGCCTGCCGCTGCTGCTGCAGCTTTTTGAGCTTCGAGTCCAGGGACCGGGCAAAGTGTCGCGAGTCCCGGTCGCGTGGGTTCTGGTCCCGGTGATCTTGGTTATCGTGGTGTTCGCGACGACTGCGGTGACCATGGTGTTCGCGGTGACGGCGCCGGCCACGGTGGTCGTGATGGTCGTCGTCGTCGATGACCGTGAACGACGACGACGTAGTGCGATCGTCTCCGCCGCTGCCGTCGGTACCGCTGTTGTTCTCCCGCATGCCGCCTTGTTTTTCCGGTCGGTCAACAACCGGAAACAACGTCGTGACGGACTTCCGCCAGTGAACCGCCGCGGCGACGACGGCGACGACGAAGACGACGACGACGACACCTGACAAACGCGACGGCCATCGGGTCGAACGGCACTGAATTCACTGGTCGGCGACGGCTACGACGACGACGACGACTCGTGTGCGTGAGAGCGTGTGCGTGTAAGCGAGTCAAGTGTGTGTGTGTGCGTGTGTACGAGTCGGCGTGGGTGTGCGGCGTGGGCAAAGGGGTTTCGTGCTCGAGGGCTACGCACGCGCTCGCAGTTGACCACACGCTCGCGCGGGTCAGTGGCTCGGCGTGACGTCCGCGATTGAATAATCATAATATAATATATGTTTTTTTAAAAAAAAACGAACGCTGTTCAGCTGTACAACGGCCGACTGCGGTATATGACGAGACTTATTATACAGGGCGACCGCGAAACTCCTTGACCGGTAGTCCCGTGAGACGTTTGTTGGTGAAAGTCACGTAAAGGAAATGAAAACTTTCAAAAAACTAAAAACTTGTAAAAACGATACAGATATTTACTGTTCGTTGAGGCCGTTATTAAAATAGTATATTATATTAGTGAGGTACAGTTATAATTATATTCGGCAGAGTATTAGAGTAATATTATTAGGTGTTATGTTCTTATCGACGATATTCTCTTATCACTGGTAATAATATTATAATTGTTGTATATGTTTTTTTATGATCATGACAGCCAGGTATAAAAATAATTAAATTTCGACCACATTAAAGCCACCGGCGTTTGACATTTTCCTGATTCTGATTCGGTGTACATCATAATATATTATGATGTTTATCGAAATGTCGATTTCGAACATTACTTTTATTTCTAAAAATAATATTTTATGAGTTTATAAGACGTTTTTTTACGGTTCATTACATTACTATAATAAATTCACTCTTTTAATAAATTTGTTCATAGATCAATCGTGACAATATTTTTCTAGATTTTACATTGCGTGTGTATAATGGGGACGCTCGTCGAGTTTGTTATTATTATGAATATACGAGATTTACTGACGACGGTTCAGTTAGCTTGAATATATTTAACGGTTTTTCAGGGTTTTGAAATAATTTGATGTATTGGTCGTAACTTTATCGTTAGGTCTCGATAATATTCAGAGAATAAAAAATGTTAAGACCAAAATAAAACGGTCAAAAATCGAGACGCGTTGGAAATCATTCCACGTTTATGCAGAACTGAATCAACAGAGATGGTACCTACGGTCAATTTGAAGACCAGCAGAGAAGGGAAGGGCACAGATATTAAGAAAATATTCCTCTAATATACCTACTCAATAATATAATATATATCACAACTATGTTCATTACCCTTATCTACGCGATATGTATTGATATGTGTTTTCCATCTATTGCGCACACCCTGTATGCAAAGGTGGTCTGTCGTGCAGCTTTCACTCACTTCTCTGTGTATATATTCTGTATTATTCGTGTACAACATTACGGTCATTACGTACATAGCGTATAATATATAGGTGTAGCTACATCTATGTAATGTGCGATGACCTCGACGGGGTATGTTGGCGATCGAAAATTCGGGATTTTAATGAATCGCCGCCGAACACGGCAGCGTTTACACGGCACCGGTAGTGGAGGTCTAGTTTGCGGCGGCGGTGGAGGTGGTGGTCAGACAAAATTCATGATATAGGTGCGTGCGCCTCTCAGCCCAAGTAGACATAGTCTAGCCCGTACATACATACACTTAGATATCACGCACTTAATAATTTATCAACGACCGATTCAAAACTTTCGATCGCGACGTCGCCGTCCACTTCCATCACGATCCTCATCTTCGTAGCTCACCCACACGTGCCGGATGTGACGTGGCCACGATGTGAGTTAATCTCTGACGCGGAAGGGTTGGACGAGTTTGAAACGAAATCTTGCTCGTAAACAGTGGCCAGGTTCCTAAGGAGGGGCAAGTGGCCATAGTGTTGCAGTTAGAATAGGTACGACTGTACGAGATAACCCACTAATTATTTCAGAAAATACTAAATTTCACATAAAATATAGTTATTTCATTATTTTACACAATTTTAAGTCGCAACAAAACAATATTTTGGGGGAAAAATCATAGTCTACTATAGTTTTATCATTATTATTAATTTTTTTAGTTTTTACTCTTCTGAATACCAAACGACATACATTTTTTATTTTATAAGCAGAATATTATTCACAGTAGTTCAATCCATCAAAATCAAATTTTGAACAAGAAGTTTATTAGTTATAAGTACCTAGTTATATGTTTTTAAAGTTTTCAAGAGTGGATTAGGTGCCACCATTTTGATTGGGGTACTCCTGTACCAGTCCACTTTGCTCATCTAAATCTTAAATACATACAAAACAATAACGGTAAAAAATTTTTTCAAAACTGCAGGAAACTATTTTGAAATGATGAGTGTCTTACTCCAAAGTTTAAATAATGTATCACTCGGTATATTATTAAGTTTATTATTAAGTCGGGAATGGACACACAAACCCTGACCGGCGACCGCGACCAGACGTTGACCCGATAACAAGGACGACGACTCGCGAGTCGAATAAATTTATACCCCCATGCCCAAAGAATAATAAGGTCGGTTAGTTTCCGGCACCGAAAAGGTACATAATTAATGCTGCAACAATAATAATTAGGGGTATATTTTTCTTTTAAATATTAACGAACTTCTATATATTTACTGCTGGATTAGGTAGGTATATAATTTATAATATATGCGCACCGATATCCAACCGACCTGCAGTCGTACAACTAATAATTATAGAATACATATTTTATATTTTTATGTGCCTATTTATTTTATTACGAAATGATACATTTTTGGCACGACAACTTTAGCCAATATTGTCGTTGACCACTAACCGTTGAACAAATATTGTATAGTGTCAGTTATTTTTTGGAACAAACGGCCATACATTTTAGTCGGTATTGTCTTAATCATTGATTAATATTTAACTAATAGGTCTGTGTTTTAATCGCACGAATTTAATGAAGTGTAAGTCTTTAAAAAGTGAAATTATGGGATTTCAAGCGCACCTCCGATATCACTACCCCAGATTTTGTCCTCGTCCGAGTGGTTATAAAAATGGTAAATCATACAAAGCACGTGTCAAGTGGTGAAGCAAGTACTTGAAATCTTTATCACCGTTGTTGTAAATATTTTGTATAATTGTATTTAATATCGTAATTTATTTTTAATAGCAAAATATCAGACAAACGCATTACCTGCAGATAACTCAACTACTATTATGTTGGCATAGTCCCGTTAAAAAACCTATTTGTAAAATTAAACTTTCGGGTACATCAAACCCGTCGTAAATATGAAATGTATATAACTAACTTGCTGTTCGTATAAAAAGTTTTCTATTTTCCAATTTGGCCCGTAACATACGCACATGCCTACGTAATATTATGCTTAAACGGAGGAAAATCGATATTTTTAATATTATAATGGCTTAAACAATCATTCGACAAAATATTACTTCACCAATAGGTGAATAGGCAGGCTAGTATGTAGATACGCGCATCGCGGTAAATCAATATATTATTTACTGTTTTTGACCGACACAAACAGATCGATAAAAATATTTATTTAAGCTACTAGAGAGGTATAATTGACGGACCGTAATTTGGTACATTTTCATTTATTCTTCAAGTAGACAATGAGTCCCACTGGACAAGTTCGTATGGAGGGCTGTGCATAAATATTTTATATTTTAGGTTGTATTATGGGTCATATTAATGCAAATACGAAGGTTAATGCCCATGATTATAAATACAACGTCTATCATGGTGTGTACGAGAATACCGGAATATCTAACTTATACCGGAATCGTTCTGACGCTAAATAATGGATAGCTTTTCGTGATTTTATAACTTTTTAATATTCTTCAGATCATGACGAATTAAGAAACGCGACCATTTCGAGCGTGTCACGCTTTAATGGGTTTGCTACTTACGATAGCAGAAATCAAGAGTACTTATACATACCTGTATCAACGTTTTTTTCCGAGTGGTTTTAAAGTACACAACGACACGAACAGACCTTGACCGGAGCAAAAATTGTTTGGCTTATTAAACGAGTTGGTAAGTAAAATAATATTATAATAGGTAAAGAAATTTAACGATGTCTAACATAATACAATATAATAATAATATGACATTTTATTGCTGAAAACGTGCAAATTAATTTTAGCATATCTGAACTATGTTCACAATATTATGGTATAACTATATAAGTCACGAAACGAAATTCGTGCGGAATATAGTTCCGAAGTAGCTAAATAATCATACCTACCTACCTATTAATGAACTATAATTCTTGCGTGAAATGTTGGTTAAACCATTATAATACGTTTACTTAAATTTATAGTTTTAATTATAATTGATATTATAAGTAGCTAGATAGGTCACTGTACAGTTGTAGAAGTGAACATTAATAATTTTGAGTAACGTTAATCAAGTATAATATAAAATAATTTGTAATTTGATTTAAGTTAGTTGCACATACGCTCAAAAAACAAGTAGCGTAATGCAAATATTTATTTATTTTTAGAAAATGTATACTATTTATGTATTTATTTGTTTTATAACAAAACGGGCCAAAGTACTGAACAATATATGTATATATGTATATATTATGCGCACAAGAAAAATATGAACTCTAGCCATTGTTAACGTAATATTAACAGAAAGAAAACGATAGGTCCTCGTCATTAACAGTAAGCGTCTGAATATCACTGGAATAATATTGGTGGTGCAAAGGAGTGTGAAAAAAGGATAAGTTATTCGTGACCGGAAGCTAGGGATTTTGAAATTAAGTTGACTGAGCAATACAGGACATACTATAGAGCCTTTAGTGAGTTTTATTAGAAACACTTTGTTTGCAGAAATCCATTTATCAGCTAGGATTGAAAATATCAGAATCTTAAGTATCGGTTCATAATCATGCGGTTTGTGGTCCATGTAAGTACCCTAGCAGCAAAACTTGAAATTTTACCCTACAGCAAGATTGGTATTTGACATAGACCATTTGCCGTACTATCAGCTAGGGTGAGAAAAAAAATCATAAGTAGTGTATTT